ACTAACTTCGTGCAAGGCTCACTAGCTCTTTGTTTGATACTTTTTAATTTTTAAATAAAATAAATCAAATAAATAGGAATAAAGTCAATGCGAGTGATTCGCCGCGCGCTTGCATTCAGCGGTGAGCCGGACGAATGTGCGTTTATTCACCAATCTTTAAAAATTAATATCTCGTTAATGGTTGCAAATTTTAAAAAGGTACAGAACTTTTCTGTTCAGTTTAATCTGCTCTATCAGCCCACGAGAGTTGGTGCTGTTACTGGACACCCTGTTTATTTAAAATAAAAGTACATTATGTATATATACATATAAATATATCATGCATATTTTTGAAATATGTACTGTAATATATATTTCGAAATTAATAATTTTATTATATTGAAAGTTATTAATTTATGTGCCTCGATAACTGCTGAAAAATTATTCGAATTTTGCGATGTGGAATTTTAGATATAGATAGTCGCCCAAATGAAAAGATCCCTTATTATGCAAGTTTTAAATTGACAAAGTACTTTATACCTTTCTACGATTGACAGACCCGAGTCACCGACGTAACGCAAACCGTGCAGGGTGCTGTACGAGCAATATTGCTTGGCAAGTTCACTGATTTCTGCGAGTTTCTGATGCTTCTTCCCAGTCTTCGATCTAACAGCAATACTAGTTTAAATAGACTTTTAATATATTATTGGCATTTAATTAATTAATTAAATGGCTCTTTACCTTTCAGTTTTTTCGTTCTCCTGATCGTTGTTTGCGGCTGATTCCTTCTTTGCGAACACATTGTTGTATCTCGACCTCAGAATGAAATCTTGCGACTGATACATACCCTGCGCATAATTATATTAAGTCTTATATCGAGATGCTTATTTATATTCGTACGCGGTACGTGTCTTATCTTGTTATTGATAGCGCACATTCCTTTCACGCGTTCAACTTCTCCGTTCGGAGACTTCCCGGACGTCGATCTTACCTTCGTCTGATCGCGGGACGCGAATCCCTCCAGCGGTTGAGGCGGTTTATAGGGATTCTGCAGGTGCACGGTGTTGACGGTGTACGACGGGGGAGCGTTGCTGGCCTTCAAATAATCAAACGGCGCTCTATCGTTGCTGTTGTAGTAATTTTCATCCCCGACATCCGCGGAATTGCGGTTGTTGTTGTTGTAGGTTCGCGACGGCATCACGGGCGCGTTGAATAGCCTCATACGGACGAAATCGGACGACGTTCGGGCGACGTTCGAGGGTACGTGCGTTAAAATTTGTGCGTCGTTCCACGGATTGAAGGTTCTGTTCTTCTCGCGCTTCGATGAATTCTCCATCTCACGGTCATTCTCTCTCTCGATTCATTGTGATCCGTTCGACGATTTTATCTCTTCACGTGGATCGCCCTATTAAATCGCTTCGTTCGATAAGTTCGGAAAATGAAAGAATGTTTCTGTTAATTTGCTTACATTCGCCTCTTTTTTTTCCTTTCTTAATTACGTTGATCGCGATTTTTTGTCGTGCCTTCACCCCCCGCACGAGAAGAACTTATTCCACAGATGATTTTAATAATCAACAAAAATATCTCTTTTTTCCACAGATGATTTTAATAATTAACAGGAGTATCTCTTATTTTCTCCGATTAACATTAATCCCCGTTAATTATGTAATATTAATTAGCGTTTATTTATCGCAGCAATTCTCCCTATCGTATACAAGGGGCGAGTACGCGCCTGTCACGAGCCTCGTCGGGCAATACCGTCGCCTGACAGGGAAATAGCTTCGTTGATTCTGTCGTGGGACTTTTCCACAAACTACCCCTCAAGACGGCCGACAGCTGACTGAAGTGTAACAATAGCAGCAAGCATCCTTCCAACTTTGGCGATACGATGCTCGCACGGGCCTTCGGCTAGTGTGCGTGCGCGCATTCACGATCTTCCAGATAAATGGATATTATTGTTACTTCAACATCGTTGTTGACTAACGAGACGGGATCGCAAGTCGACGTGACATGAACGATCGCGAGGCGATCGCGACCTTAAGACACTTTTTTTTTTTACACTTCTTGCAAGCAATCAGACTTAATTCTAATGATAGATTTTTCGACGTGACGAATGTAATGATACATAAATCTAAATTTTTTTTTTAAGGAAAATTCCTGATAAATCCGTTTTAGCATAAATATATACTTTACACTAATTATAATTTTAACTCAAAATTTTGATGTCAATTTCAGAAAGTACGGCAAAAGACGATCGAATATACAATGATAATTCTCTCCGGGTTCATCGTTTAGTCGGTTTAGCGTTATTATGCCCCGAAAGGGCATTTTTATATTGACGTGAGAAAAAGGCAACAAACGTTTACGTGAAAAGTACTTACAGTTACATCGGTTATAAAACGATAGGGAAATGTTCGATAAGCGCAGCTTATCTCTCCACGAGTATCTAGCTGTTTCACGTGCGGGATATCTCGTTTAACAATAAATGAGTACACAAAAGTAACGTTCCTCCTTTTTTTATCAGTCGAATGCACATATACTTATGATACGATCCGACGCTCTACTTACAATTAGAACTTTCGAATCACCTTCGGCTTAATTACGATCGCGAGTCCACAACGCGCGCGTAGGTTATAGAAGAGAGATGCAGAGAGGAGCACTCTCTCGAGGAAACGAGACGTCGGGCATGTATAACGTTTTTCATTTTTATTTCGATTGGAGACAAATTTTTTTACCCGGAACGTTCATCGTTTGCGTAATGAGCGTAATCGCGCACGATCGCGCGAAAGCGATTTACCGCCTTTGTACGTGGGGGAGGAAAAGCCGACACACGCAAGAGGAAGGAAAAAAAACGTATTCCGTAATGATTCATCCACGCTGCTTCGCACGCATCATTTCAAAGTACATGGCGATTCCCTATCGTCATTACAAATCGCATCGACCACGTGTACGCGATACACGATCACCGATGTGCAAAGCACAGGTCAGATCGATCGAGGGAATGCGCGAAAGCGCACGTTGTCGCGTGATTAGGGGTTGTTATGTATTAGCCGTAACGTAACGGGGGCTCTGCGCGATCGCTATCCTTAAGCGCAAGGATGACGTTAATTGATAAAAACGTCCGCGAAGAAGCTTATCTCGTGTCATTTTAGTCCGGGTGCCCGAATTTTCCTCTACCATCGCGTTGTTTTACCTCTCGAATAACATTTGTATTGAATTATTAAATATCAACATCGTAATGAAGTTAATTATAATATTAATTGCATTATTAAATTAGTCATCATGTTGTGTTTTGATTTAATTTAATAATGTAATCATATTGCTTCGATAATGTATAATTTAATCCTGTACTATATTATGTTTCGTTATATTATAAATCATATATATATATATATACCTATATATATATATATATATTATCAAATTGAAATTATTAAATAATTTGTACGTACGTAATGTTTTAATTTCTAAAGAAAATTAAATATTTGTTAATGTAGTTAACGAGAACGCACTTTGATCATCGAGAAATGCGATAAACGTGAATTTGTGACGTAAATGTCCGTAATATGTATAACAGCGCAAAGCGTTCAAATTATCTCTGTTATTTTTAAAGTCCATAACCGATCAGTCGGATCGTTATCGTGAGCACAATAATGTTAGCACAAAGTAGATACAACGCAATAGGAAAGCGTATAAGTGTGGAGAACCGCGACGAGACCATCACGTAACGCGGTAAGTCTCACGCAATTTTCCATTGTTGTGCAGCATATAACGAGACAAGAGTGTGGATAAAGTGTGGTTACAGACTTGTCCGCGCAGTGGAAATGTTTCGTGACCGCGGCCCTCCTCGTCCGTTGGATCGTCGTCTCGGCGTAATTACAAGGCAAACATTCGTGTTATCCTTATCGACGTTCAAAACGGCACCTCACGCGAGTCGCGACCGGCCGGCCGTCCGTCCTCCGTCCGGCTGACGTTCGTAATATCCCCGACGAAAAAACGTCTCTCCCTTGTTTGTCAACCCGCCGTTCGCTGTTGGCGGGTGACAAACGGCAATGACACGCCCGTATGAAATTATAGGACACGCGGCAAGCGAGAAGCAATTTGCCGCGGATGGACGATCGGCGAATTTGTCGTCACGCTTTGATTCGACGAAATTGGTTTGACGGGGCGCGCGCGATACATCGATCACGCACGTGCGAAGGGGATTAATTTGATATTTTATTCATGGAGCCGATCGGATGACAAACGAGCGAAAACATTTTGCGAAAAAGACCGGCTAAACAATTCATATTGATTATGATAATGCAAGACAGTCGGGGAAAGTTTACCGTTTAAACGGAATATCTATAAGCTGGTAATTAGACGAACTGCGTGTTCTAGATAGGGGTTGGGGAATAGGGGGAACCTTGCCTCGAATGGCAGGAAGGTCAGACTTTTTCCAGATAATATTCTTTGTGTAACAACGGCGATATTAGGTCACAGCCGTTTGTTCTGCAGCGACGATGTCATAAGCGACGATAATGATTATGCACGAGTGACGAGAGACGCGCCTTTTAAATAGACACGTGATTCTATCGGCGCAATTAACGGCGCGGTACGGCTCGTGCGAATTACGATATTCTGATAACAGTCAACTGTGATATTTCATATAATGTTTCCTACTTTGACATCGTGTAATTAGTAGTCGTATTGTTTAATTTGTTGAGAAAATGTAGTGGGTCTAGGCCAGCGTGTACTGACGCGAATAACTGACTTGCGGCGCATGAAAACAATATTAATTCCTATTTCAAATTAATTACCGCACATCGATTTTCTGCACTTCGCTCACACCGTGTATTTATCTCGGTGAAATAAAATTGACGCGTGAATCTTAGGTTTATTCGCAATTACATATCGTTGATTTTTAGTAATAAAATGATCGATTGTTACAGGCAAAATGTCGTACAGGACTAGAAAGCGAAAAGAGGTCGAGGAGCGAAAAACAAACGATGGGGAGCAGGACAATTTTTTCACCGACGAAATGAGGGAGGAAATGGAAACGATGTGGGAGGTAATTAAAATTACTTATAATTTTATTGGATCGTCGGTCGTATAAAAAAGAAATGACACTTATGTCCTTTTTTCCAGATACCACAAATTTTCCATTTCCTCTATTTAACGAAGGAATCTCTTAACATACCCCAGTTATCCTTATACGAAATGGAAAGAATGTTGTTGATTCCGAGGGCCTCTAAACAACTGGCAAATATCATGACGTGTTTGCTGAGGTATATTAAATCCAACTCTAAATTTCTTTCTTCTAAATAAATACGAAGAAGTGCCACTAACGCTCAAGGCTAGTTTACCCAATAATATTTTTAATTTTAAATACCCTTTTCAAGGTACAATAAAACTGCGTGCCAATCACTGTCGGACTTAAACGCAGTTATAAACTGAGAAATAATATTACTTAATAATAATGCTACAAACATCACGAACGCTTCTTCGTACTTATTTGATGGATTCATATATCGATCGTACTTAGAAATTGTTATTTTTTTCTTTTTTTCCCCTTTTTTGCCCTACGGCATTTCCGACTTTGAAGAGTTATATTATGCTTTCTGCTTTCTTTAGAGTTGTCCGATTTTTTAAAGAGATAGAATAGGAGATAAAGATTGAACTGAAATAATTCTTCAATAATGATCAATACTCGAATTAAGGGGGGTTTCACCTTTCCCGGTCATAAAAGCCAACCCTTTTTCATGAATTTTTTTAAGGAAATCTATTATATACAGTAAAACACGGATTTTTGCTTAAACTTATATGTTATTTGAATAGCAAAAAAAATTTTTTATTTATATAAAAATGTATTTTAATGCCTCCAAGTGGCGATTGAATGTGGCATGTTTTTCGAGCTGACGGAAGTAATTACGAAAAAACGAATTAAGATATCGACTTGATTCTTTGTTCCTCTTGATCCTAATACTTTAACGCATGGCGTGAACTAAAATCATGATTTTACAACAAACATTTAATTTGTTATTAATAACAATTTTT